TCTCCTAAAACTAAAAATAAAAGTATATAAAGTATTAATTACGAATATATATGAACTAAACTATAAAGATTTGACAATAAACATTAAGGATCAACGTTAATGTGGTGCCAAATGAAACTAGGAATGGTTTATGTCGGTCTCGACCTCTGTTTCTAATTTAATTTTAAACATTGTTGGAGTTATTTCACGTTTAGATAGTTGAATGATCACCTTCAAAATTCGATAGTATAATTTAAACTAGTCCTCAATAAATATTATTATTGAGAACTTCTTCCGAAATAATTAAAAAGAACATGTATGCATATTGGGACTAATTTTTACAAGTACAACGCTCATCAAAACACATATAACCGGAGACACATTTACTTTTCATGATAAGAGGATCACAATCACTCGTAAACCTACACATTTTAGCATAATTCATCGCCCCAATGTTGTCAAATTTTTCTTGATGAGTTGATGATCCGCTACGTTGGCATTGTCCCTCTACACATAGAGCTTTCCTGCTCGAGCAGTGAAGGTATTTGCAATCTTTTGTTTTCTTATGAAGAGAAATATGAGCTTCAGTTGTTGGAATATTCACCATCATTGCACCTAATGAACCCCACCCGACCAAGAAAGCCGAGGATATGTTCAAACTTCAAATCAAATATGCATGCTTAAGTAAAAGTCGTATTAGAGAGACTAGAAAAACTTACCAGCGATAACAAGAGCAAGGAGGATGACAAATGTAATCTTTGATGCCATTTATTTCTTATAATTATTGTTTAATGTATATCAAAAGCACATGTAACCTACAAACCCTTGCAATTTATTTATAATCTCTTAAAAATTTAGGAATTTAATTTCAATCTTTTCAGTATAGAATGATATATGGGATTGCATTTTTTATTGTAAACAATTCACCTCCACATTGGGTAATCAATCGTGAGAGATTTTATTTAATAAAATATTATTAATCTATATATATAATAGCAAAATTTTCTCTCCATCTAAGGTATCCACATAGGCAAAACATTTTCATTACAATTAGT